AGAGTTGCTGTGCTTGCTCCATCACTAGTAATGAGCAAATGAACTTCTCATAGAGGATAATGGGTAAATCAGATAAAACAGAATAATCATCGATTCACGTGCTATGGCTTTAAAATACCAATATAATCAGCTTTTTCCTGAGAATTCACTTTGAAAATGCTTCTCCAGCTTGTGGTCCAATTCTACCTCCATCCCACAAGCATACTAAAAGAAATCTTCAGTTTTATCACACAGGATTGAAAGAAAGCATACCACAAACTCAACGCTGGGAGAACAGGTCGATACCATGAAACAATTCGAAAAGTAGAATATGATAAGGCAGTAGTAAGGATTTTATGACGTGACCTCATTCTATCAGAGGACAATGGGATTAATAGAGAAACAGAAATGGGGACAGGAACTGAAGTGAAATTGAAAGACAAAAAGGTACATCAGAAGACAAGGCATAGCATCCTGGAGGCAGAAGTACACAGATTTCTGTGAGTTTGAGGCCAGCCTGGTCTACACAGCAAATTCCATGACAGCTAGCGCTGCATACTGAGACCCTGCCTAAAACAAACAAACCCATCCAAATAAATGACACAGAGAAAGAAATAATAATTCAGATTTCATAAAATTTTTCATGGAAATTCTGTGTTGTGCAAACTCATATTAACAAGAAAATGTTTCACACACCAGTAATTCAGGAAAATCTGTTCTTTTCCTGTGACTGTCTTCAAGTTCCATCCTTCTAACCCACCTTAATACACTCGCCTTCATTTGAGGGATGCATTTTTAAAAAAATTATAGATGTATAATATTTATATATGGGTGTTTATGTTTATGTGTGTTTCTTGAATAACTATCTGTATACTATACACATGTGTGGTACCAAAGGAATCCAGAAGTGTGCATAGGATTTCTTTTTTTTTATTTTGAGTGCATAGAATTTCTTAGAGCTAATGTTATAGGTGGTTGTGAGCCACCATGTGGAAGCTGGAACTCAAACCTGGCTTCTTTGGCAGAGCCAGTGCTGTTAAACATTGAGCCATCTCTCTGACCCCAAAGGCCAAAATATTGGGGGGGGGGGCGCTAACATAATGCCATAACCTGGAAGTTGTTCATTTATTTGATTTTTGCTTTGTTTGTTATACTGTCTCACTGACTTGGAACTTAAAGAGATCACCTGCCTTGCTTTGCTGGTATTAGTGGCATGAACCACTATTCCTGTCTTTTGCTGGTATTTTGATTATGACCTATCATGTGATTCCAAGTCACATATACATTAAAATAAAAGAAAAATGAAAAAATGTTTTTAAAATACTGGAATTTTGGAGTATTTCAGATTTCAGGCACAAGAAAAAACAAAACAAAACAAAAACAAAAAACAAAAACAAAAAAACACCTGTAGGACTGGGGGGAGCAGCTCAGTAGATTAAGTACTTATCCCAATCTGAGCCTTCCCAACACACTGACCAAAACACACCCTGTCAACTTCTGTTCACTTTCAGCTCCTGTCACTTCCGTTCTCCAGCTAAACACAGGCCCTCCTAAGTTTCCCTAACAGCCCTTGCTTTCCCGTCGTTTTGTACACTGTGAAGATGTGTCTTTGCCAAGGCACCTTCTGATTGGCTTAATAATTGCCGCATGGTCAATAGCTAGGCTGGAGAGAATAGGAGGGACTTCCAGGAAAGAAAGATACTCAGAATTAATCTAGGCATGCAAAAGAGTTACAAGGCAGGCATGGAGAGGAAACAGGAGGTGCTAGATGGAAGAGAGGTAACACCGCATCACAGAATGAGTAATTTAAGCGATAAGAACCAGTTGAGACAGGCCTAAGCTAAAGCCCAAGCTATCATAATTACTAATAAGTTTCCACGTTGTTAATTTTGAGCTGGCAGTCCAAAGAAAGATCCAACTGCACACACTGCCAGTTAAAAGAGCTCTGCTGTGAGAGGGCTAAAGAATGAATTCCTTTGTGTCTGTGCAAGAGGCTTCTGGGCAAGGAGATGGAGGCAGCATTAGATAAAGAGGACATTCCCATTGAGTGTGGAGCATAAACGGGACAAATGCAGCCTCACGCAGGCTGTGGAAGCCCCAGCGGATTGAGAAAGTCATACAGGACAGCACAGGCCTTGCGTGGGGCGTGGGAAACTGAGTCTAAATGAGGAGGTCTTCCACAGACTGCTCTTCAGGCTTGAGGAGTCAGAACCTGAGCAGGGTGGGGAGGACATTGGCAGCTGAGAGAGGGAGACAGCTGAGATAGCCACTGGATGCCTGCGGACTGGTGAGTGGATATGCACACCTGGTAAGCAGAACACATGCCAGGGTTCTCAGCACTGACTGAGAAAGCTGAAGCCATAGGAAGGAAAGATGCCAGAGCTGGAATAAACTAGAAGAATAAGTAAACCCCTAGATTTTCCATATGGATGTACAGAATTAGAAATACATGTGCAGGCTGCAGAGATGGCTCAGAGGTTAAGAGCACCGGCTGCTAAAGCAGAACGCAATGTGGAGTCAGAGCTAAATTGATCACAGGTAGCTTATTTAGTAATAGTACTCATGCAAGTCCACTCAGCCAGGCGGCAGGGAGCAAGAGAAGGGGCCCACGTGTGCGCCCCTAAACTACTTAAACCTTTCCCACGTCACTCTGACCACGCCCAAGCGGGCATGGTCAGCGACACCTGTGACCAGCCCCAAGAGGTCATGGTCAGCATTACCTCTAAACAGAATTTTCCCTACAGTCTGCTCTTCCAGAGATCCTGAGTTCAATTCCCAGCAACCACACGGTTACTCACAATCATCTATAATGGGATCTGGTGCCCTCTTCTGACCTACAGACACATATGCAGGCAGAACACTGTGTATATAATAAATCTTTTCAAAAAATCAGTTGTCTGTATGCTTTCTAGTTTAGTTACCTGGATACCCTGGGAACAGTGTCATAGTCCAAACACATGTACCTAGAGCTCATACCCTAGTTCCTAAATATCTTCTCCCCATTAAACGAAGACAGTTGTCTTCAGATAAGTAATAGATACAAGACTTTTGTGTCATAAAGCAATGGAGCCTACAAAGGAGAGGATCCTGACAGGAAGAGTGGTTTAAGAAAGGAAACACCCTCCCCCCACTCCCATAGCTCCTCTTAACAATTCTGGGCACACATGGAAAAGCTACTGTTCCACGATCACCTCTAAAGTCCAAGTGTTCAACTAACTCACTCCAGATAAATGTACTCAGTCACATTCCGATCTTAAGCCTTGAGATGGCACTTTGAATTTATGCAGAAACACCAACATAAATAAGCCAGTGCCAACAATACCACATTGGCAGCACTCTTTGAAATATCTAGACTTGCCCTTTACATGTGATCTTTCATTATTGACCACTGCAATAATCTATTCAATCACTAAGAAACACAAGGAGCTGCCCGGACCATGTGAAGCACTGTGACAGAGCTGAGAGACACTGGACTTCCTGGTACAGAAGATGACAGGCATCTTGGCAGAAGGTTACCCCAACAGTCTGAATGTTTGGCAGGGGGTTTCAAATAATTATTTCAGCCTGTACCTGCATGGAGCTTTCGGTGGAAATGAGAATATAGATTATTTGGGTGCCTAGGGCAATTGCATTTAAATTTTCCCAAAGTGTGCTCTGAAACTTCCCATTCTCAGCATTCAAAAGGAACATTATTCATTGCTGACTTTTGAGCAAAATAAAATAGCCTATTTCATAATAGTCTGTTTTACTCCCCTGTTCCTAGTGTGTGAGCAGAACCTGACAAGCAGGAATGCATTCAGTACTCATGGCTAATTTGGGGTGTTTCACCAATACTTGATGCTGTCAGCACATCTTTCCTTGGGGTTTCAAATGACTCCTTAGCCCATGGATTCCCTTAGTTCAACACCCCTGGTTAATCTTTCTGTGAATCTATCTCAAGCTCATGAGCCCTGTGGAGGGGGAGCAAGGGGGGGCTGAGTACCTGGGTGAGTGTAATGTGCTTGTTTGTCCTCTAGGCGGAGCTACAACCTCACTGAAAAAATTCCCCTAATATATTTATTGATTATTGGGAATTTCACAAAATGCACCCCAATCACACTCACTTTCCAGTCCTCCTTTCTCTGCACCCACCCCTTGTGATGCCTTCCCTTCAAAAAATAGAAGAAAGAAAAACAAACAAAAAACAAAACAAAAGAAACAAGTCCAATTTGTGTTGCCCATATACTCACAGGAGCTGGCCAGGAGCAGGCATGCAAGTGGGGAAGGAGCCAGTTTCCCCTGCAACTCCTGATTCTATTGATAGGGGAGGGGGAGAAGGGAGGATGGGAAGGGAGCTGGGCAGGAAGTAAAGCGTCTGGCTTTGCCCCTTGTTCTGGTTGAGAGCTGGCGTGAGCCCAACTCAAAGACACTAGGAGCTCCTGAACCTGCGGGGTGTTGCTCCAGAAGGTTCTCTGCATGTCTCCTTTCCGTATGCAGGCTCAGGTCCCTCTGTGATGCTCCCAGTGGGTGTGTGTGCGGGGAGCGTGCCGCTTATTCCTCTTCTTGCCCTCTCAGTGCTCACTGAGGTGCTTCTTACCTCCTTATTAAATTACTGGGTTTGGAATGATGTACAGCTGACTCCAGAAAAGGCCCTGGTGAGCAATGAGGCTGCCTTTCTTAGAGAGAAGGAAGGCTGGTGTGCCTGACCTGGGTCTACGAGAGGCGGAAGGAAGGGCGTCTATCCAGAGGAACTGAACCTGTGTCACCGAAAGAGGAGGTACTACAAAGCAGATTGTGCTTACCAGAGCCAGCAACTGTCTGAGGAGTCTTGGGAGGCAGCTGGGCACGGTCTGTGTCTAGAAGTCTACGTATGTATGAATGATCAGCCCTGACAAGCGCAAAGGGCAGAGGGAAGTGTCAGCTGAAGCCATCTACAGGAACAGGGGACACCCAAGCAAACCCTCTCACAGGGTTAGTAAAAGGCACCTAGACAGCCAGGACCCAAAGAGGGAGACATAGATCCCATCCTGTGGGTCCCTACCATGGGTCCCAGGCTCTTCAATTGCCTGGCCCTTTGGCTCCTGGTGGCAGGTGAGTCCTAGCCTTGATCCACACCTTCTGTCTTTTCCAGGGACCATCCTTTTGTAATTTTCTTGAGAATTAAATTTGTTTCTTATTCTTGCAGGTCCTGTGGACCCTAGAATTGTCCAGACACCAAAGTATCTGGTGACAGTCACAGGCAATGAAAAGACCCTGACGTGTAAGCAGTATCTAAACCACAATGCTATGTACTGGTATAGACAGAGTGCTAAGAAGTCCTTAGAGCTCATGTTTGCCTATAGCTATCAACGACTCGTTGATAACCAGACTGTTCCGCATCGCTTCCAAACTCACAATCCAGAGAAATCCCTCTTAGAACTTCAGATCTCAGCCCTGGAGAACGATGACTCGGCCACGTATTTCTGTGCTAGCAGCCAAGACACAGCCTTGCAGAGCTCTTGGCCCCCTGTACACAAACCTCCTCAGTCTACTCAGGAAACTGTTGCTGCAGCAGGTCCTCCTAAGCCCCCAAGACTCAGTCAGTAGTCCACAGGACTCAAGCAGAAACCTCAGACCACAACACCACCTGACAACTAGATATCATAGTGCCAAATTCAATGTCTGCTCAGCAGCAATCTTTGACTTGAGTAAGACTGGGTCTGCAGTTGAATACGGGACTGAAAAGCTCAGTGTTAAGTTGTTTCAAGGGTTTGTAGTCCTGAGAAATCTTTTATGAACCACTTAACTGTTCTCACCAATCCTCTTCCAATATGTCCCCTCATGTAAGGAAGGAAGTCAAGTAATTACTTTAATGTTTATTAACAAGAAAGATCCTTGCACAGTTATCACAAAACAGAACAGAAAATCTGAACTGGCTCACCTCTGATCTGGCTTCCTTAGTCCAAAAAGACCACACGTTTTCTGGGCTCCACCTTATCTTTGGGTCAGGTACACTCCCAACAAAAACTCTGCCCTTAGGACCCAAGTGCTCCTTTCCAAATGCTAGCAGACAGGTGAAAGAATTCCCCGTAAGACTCACCTGACTTCTCTTTTCAAGCAGAGCCTGTACCTCAGTCCTCATTCAAGCTCCAAGTGTGCTCACACCTTTTCCATGACACTCCATCTCCTCCCATGTAGCTCTTCAAGTTCCCATATCCCAGGAAAACCACTCCTCACTTGATCTATACCGCCACGGATGGGCTTACTCTCCTTGCTTATGGTCAGGTTCCTAACTCTTGCTTTTCCCTCCCATTGGGGGGCTTTTGACACTGTCATGCTTGGCTCTTTCCTTACATCTCTCCAATCTTCCTGCTGAATCTTTGTACTCTATTGTTAACTGTAGACTGAGATGCCTCTGAGTTGTTGCTCACCATGGTAAAAACCTCCACGGAAGGCAACCTCCTGGCATTTCTGAGAAAGACTTAATTCCTGGAACTTCCTTTGCTGCATGCTGATTTCCCTCTAATTACTGCAAATAACGATGCTTCCCCCTGTCCACAACATCCGATCTCACAGGCAGAGCAGACTTCTGGACCCTGGGTTTCTGGTGTGGCATGGTACTAATGTTTGCTCCCTTCTCCTGTAGAGGGCACTCTATTACTACTCACCAGTAACCGCCAGACCTTTCCAATGGACCAGAGGAGCTTAGTATGTCTCCACTCTGTTTTTCATACCCAGAGTTCAAGCTAGGAGAAGCAACATTGCTGCTGTGACCCTACTATGGCCATCTGGCTCCTGTGTTGGATACTTTTTAGTCTCCTGCAAGCAGGTGGGTTCTTAAGAATCCTAGACAGTTTTTATTTCATACTGAGACAATTTTAAACGACTCTATTAATCTTCTTTCTCTTTGCACAGGACACACAGGACCCAAAGTCATACAGATGCCAAGTCATCAAGTGATACTTGTGGGTCAGAAGGTGACCCTCAGTTGTGACCCTGTCTCTAATCACCTATACTTCTATTGGTGTAAACAGAACTTGGAACAGCAGATGGAGTTTCTGGTTTCTTTCTATGATGGTAAAACCATGGACAAGTCTGAGCTATTCAAGGAGGATAGTTTTTCAGTCGAAAGGCAAGATGATTCATATTTCACTCTGAAGATACAACCCACAACCCTGAAAGACTCAGCCGTGTACTTTTGTGCCAGCAGTTTAGCCACAGCCTTGCAAAAACACCTCCTTCCTGTACACAAACCCTCATGTGTCTGCCTCTCTCCTAGCTTGCCCAGGAGAAGGAAGTCTGTTTATATTTTAATTGCAGTTGTTTTTAAACAGATAAATATCCAAAATTAAATGACCAAGATAGGATATCTCATACAGGGATAGTCAGAGGCCATGAGATATACACATTTTCTACAGACACCACAGAATGTAACTGGAAAATAAACTTGAGCAAATAATCTCTTAGCAAGTAACTGAGTGACTCATATCTTCTTATTGTCCTCCATTTTAATTGCATTGAAATTTTCATTTGATTTATTAATAGTTGCTTAGCTAAAATATTTTAACCTGTAAGGTAGGAGTAGGGTCACTGCTTCCCTGATCATCACTACTAGTGATTCAGGGGCCACATTTGTACTTCCTGCCCCTGTATTAATTGGATCTGTCAGATAAGAAATCCTGACTTATGAGATGGAGAAGGAAGGAACTGACACAGCAACCACAGACACAATAAGTATTCTATTGATTCTAAACTGGAAATATGCTTTGTCTTTTTGGTTCCTTTTATTTGTAAGCAAGAAGGTAAGGATGAAAAATGGAGTTTATACACTGAACTGAACTGGAATCCTGTTGCAGAGAAAGAGGAGTGATGAGCAAAGGGGTCAAGACCAGGCTGGGGAAACCCACAGAAACAGCTGACCTGAACAAGGGGAAGCTCATGGACCCCAGACTGATAACTGGGAAACCAGCATAGGACTAGTCCAGACACCCTGAACATGAGTGTAAGTGAGGAGGTCTGGTTAATCTATGGGGTCTCTGGTAGTAGATCAGTATTTATGCCTAGCATACAAATGGACTTTGGGAGCCCATTCCATATAGAGGGATACTATCTTAGCCTAGACACATGGGGGAGGGCCTAGGCCCTGATCCCAAGGATATGACAGACTCTAAAGATCTCCCATGGAAGGCCTCACCCTCCTTGGAGAGCAGAAAGGGTATGGGAGAGGGAGTTATTGGGGGGGGGACAGAGGAGGAGGGGAGGGAGAGGGAACTGGGATTAACATGTAAAACAATCTCTTTTCTAACTTAAATTAAAAAAAGAAAAGTGGAGTTTATATAAATAGATGTTATATAAATAGAGTTTATAAAAATAGATGATCACATGGTCACAAATTTGCTACTCCACATTGGGAACAAAGAAAGGTTGATCTGGAATTCAGTGAATTCACTCAAGTTTCTCTAATTGGTGGCATGGCGATATGGACAATTTAGTGGGTGAATCAGTCACAGTATGACAATGTAGATTACCTAAAGAGTTAAAGCCATAAGGCAGCCATTCTCAACCTGTGGGCCGAAATCCCTTTGGGGGTTGAAAGACCCTTTCCCAGGGATCGCCTAGGACCGTCTGCATATCAAATATTCACATTATGATTCATAACAGTAGCAAAATCACAGTTACAAAGTAGTGACGAAAATAATTTTACGTTTGGGGGTCACCACACCACGAGGAACTGTATTAAAGGAACACAGCATTGAGAACCATTAGCATAAGGAGTAACAGTTGGGTGATCCCACTGAACAAGAAACAGCCCACAGATGAGTAGAGAAAGGCTTAAGGAGATTGAGAATCGCTGGTAGAGAAGGAAGACAAGGAATATCAGCTGTGCCTTGGGTAGCACTGGCTGCATCAGCCTGAAGTTTACTGCTATGGAGCTCTTATGTTTGTAACTGTTGCAGCTGCCCACCACCCTGAAGCCCTGACTATCTGGCCTTGGTAAAAGCATTAACTGTGTCATTTAATGCCAGTCACAGCTGTGATGAGCGATCAATCCTATGCAGACTTGCAGTTATTGACTCACTCTCTAGGAACGGTGCTTAGGTGCTTAGGGTGTTGAGTTATAGTAGTGTCCTGGATGACACTCATGCAGGCATAGTCCAAAAGTGAGGAACAGATGGATCACAGGTTTTCCATTAGTTTGACTCTCTAGAAATCTTGGCTTGACAATCACCTGCCTACACCAATGGCCCAATTAACTAACATGCTCTCATTTGTATTTTCCTTTTTCTGTTTCAGATTTCTGTCTTGTCAGTTTGACTTTGTTATCCCACTCACCAGTTCTTTTTAAACTTTGTCCATTCTCTTTGTAAACAAATATATCGAATGCATATATTAGTCAATTAGTATAACTCAGTTCAGAATTTCCATTTAAATCATGTTTACAGTTCAAGTTGTATGCTAAAATTCTCCATTATGTTTATTTTGTTAGAATATTACCTATTTAAAGACCAGTGTCTAACACCTGTGATATATAATCCTTTCTGGGACCCTTGTTTGTTGTCACTCCTTGGTTTGTGATGATATTGTCTTGTTCCCTTGTACACCAAGTAACCCAAGTGAATGTTCAAGTACATAAAAAATTAAGACAGAATTTGAGGCTCTTTATGATTTCACCTTCCTCTAGAAAGGACTGAGATTGTTCTGCTAGGAAGTGCTAAGAGAGGTGGGTTATTTTCATTGAACTGATGATTGAGTCAAATTGAAGCTGGGCTCTGAAGAGTCCCTGGGATCATTGTTAGCTCTTAGTCTTCAATGGGCAGTGTCTTGAAGTTTTAAACAATATTTTGAGTATTTAGTAACATTATTTCGTGGAGAGGGTTCGAGCCAGGGCTTCTCTGTCCTGGAACTTGCTTTGTAGACGAGGCTGGCCTCCAACTCGTAGAGATCCTGTTGCGGGATTCTCGCTTGGGTTCCGTTGCCGCTTCAGCCCCCAAAATAACGCACAGAGACTCTATTAGTTACAGTACTGTTGGCCAATGTCTGGGGCTTCTATTGGCTAACTCTGTCTTAAGTATTAATCCATAACTACGAATCTATATATATATATATATATATATATATATATATATATCTCAAGGTCTTATCTTACTGAGAACGCTAGATTCGTGCATCCTCTCCTCCCCAAATCACATGGAGATTCTACTCTTTACTACATTTCCAGAATTCTCCTTGTCTCTTAGTCCCACCTACCTTGCTTCCCTATTGGCCAACAGTGTTTTATTTATCAACTAATAAGAGAAACAAATGTACAGAAGACTTTCCCCATCAAAATCCCCCTGCCTTTGCCTCATGAGTGCTGGGATTAAAGGCATGGCTACCACCACCCAGCTTATTTAGTAGCATTATTGACATGAAATTCATATAACATAGTATTTACTCAAATGGAAAATTCCATGAGTTTTAAAAAATCCGTGTTGCCGTATAGGTGGCACCATGGTCTGGCTCTGAAACATTTTTGTTCTCCTCAAAGTTGGCTTGTGCTCACTTTCAGCAGTCCCCTGCTTCTGTCCGCAGACCCAAGGCCTGGAGTCTTCCCAGGGCCTTTTTGA